AGGACCCCTCCAGAGCCCCCCAGGACCCCTCCCCAAGCCCCTTCCTGGAGCCCCCCGGTGCTCACCCCCAGTGCCATCAGGTGTGCCAGCCCGAACTTGGGCACGTTCCTGGCCCACAGGGGCTTGAAGTGGTCGCTGAGGCAGATCTTACCCCCCCTGGGGGGACACCGAGCCGTCAGACCCCCCTTGGGACCACCCCAAAACCCCTCAGACCCCCCCTCGGGACCCCCTAGAACCCATCAGACCCCCCAGGATCCCCCAAACCCCCCAGGATCCCTCCCCAATTCCCCCCAGACCTTCTCCAAACCGCCCCCTGGACCCCCCATGCCCCTCCCCAAACCCCTCTGCACCCCTGCCAGATCCCCCCAAGCCCCCCAGGCCCCTTCCTGGACCCCTCTGAGCCCCAGGACCCCTCCCCAAGCCCCCCCCCCAATCCCCAAAACCCTCCCTAGGATCCCTCCCAAGAACGCCCCAGCCCCCCTGGACCCCCCCCAAAGCCCCTCCAGGACCCCTCAAAACTCCTCAGACTTGCCCCCAAACACCCCAAATCCCCCGGGACCCTCCCCAAAGCCCCTCAAAGCCCCCAAAAAGCCCCTCAGACCCCCCCAAGCCCCCCCAAAGCCCCCAGGTCCCTCCTCACCGGTACATCTTGGCGGTTTTCCCGTCCAGCTCGGGGATGGCGATTTCAGGGGCGGTGCCCGGGTACGTCACCGGGATCTGGGGGAGACAAGGGGTGGGGTCAGCACCTCCTTGGGACCCCCCCCAAAACCCCCCCTGTCCCCCGGAGCCCCCTCCTCACCTCGAACTCGATGTTGAACTCGTACTTGAGCAGCTCATGGATGTACCAGCACCTGCCTGACCACCTGGGAACATGGGGGACCCACCCCAAAACCCCTGAGTGACCCTTGGACCCCCCAAAGCCTCTGAGTACCCCCAGGACCCTCCCAAAACCCCCCAGACACCCCTGGGACCTTCCCTAAACCCCCCAGACCCCCCCTAAGACCCCCCCAGGACACCCAGTGTGAGGGAACCCCCTCTGCGACCCCCCCAGAACCCCCAGGGACCCCCCAAAAACCCCTCAGACCCCCCCCTAAACCGCCCAGACCCCCCCCCCAAAGCCTTTCAGAGCCCCCAAAACCCCTCAGAGCTGCCCCAGGGCTCCCCCAAATTCCCTCAGACCCTCCCGGGACCCTTCCCCCGCTGCTGGGACCCCCCCTCCGGTCACCGGAGCGGCCCCGGGGGGTTTGTGACAATCCCGAGGGGGGTCCCGGTGTGACCGGGGAGGGGGGGGGGTATCCCAGAGCCCCCTCCGCCCTTACCGGGTGCCCTCGGGGTTGGACTCCAGACGGAACCAATCGGTGTCAGCCCGTTTGTTGTTCTCCACGTACTGCCGGGACACCGGGGGGGGGGGGGGGGGGGGGGGGGGGTCACCGAGACCGCGGGGGGGGGGTCACCGGGACCGGGAAAGGGACACCGGGAATGGACAGGATTCATGGCGGAACACCGGGGGATGACAGGAGACACCGGGGGGGGGGTCATCGGTACTGGGGGAGTCACCGGGAGGACACTGGGGGGACACCGGGGATGGACCGGGGAACACCGGGAGTATTGAGAAGACACCGGGGGGACACGGAGAGTATGGAGGGGACACCGGGGGACACCGGCGGGCACATGGGGGTGGTCTGGGAGGAGGAATAGAGCAGCAGGAGTACACCGGAGCGACACCGCGTGGGGAAAACCGGGAGGGATTTGAGACACCGGGAAAGCACCGAGAGGGAACGGAAACACGGCCAGACGGGAACCGTGAGAGGGGAAACGCCACGCACGCACCTGGATGAGCGCCCGGTACTCCTCTCGCAGCCGCTCGGCCCAGCCCTCGCGGTCCCGCGGCCCCGCTGGTGACCGCAGCAGCGGCAGCTCCGCCACCGCCCGCCGCGCTGCCGCGTCCGCCATGGCCGGGCCCCGCCATGCCGCCCCGCCGGAAGTGACGTACACCGCCACCCCGGCACGGCGCCGCCATCTTGTCTACGGGAGTGGCTGACGCGATGACGTCATCGCCGCCATCTTGGGTGAGGGCGCGCACGGTGCGTGAGGCGCTGCCGCCATCTTTAGTGAGGGCAGAGGGGCGCGGAGGTGGGCGGGGCTTGGCTGAGGGGGCGGCACCCACCGCCCAGGGACCGCCCCCTCCTCAGGGACCCCCCCCCCTCAAAGAGCGACAGGCATCCCACCACCCCAAGGACCCCCCCCAAAGAGCAACCGGGACCCTCTAACAGGCCCCCCACAGCCCAGGGAACCCCCACAGCACCAGGGACCCCTCACAAAACCCCCAGGACCCCCTCACACATCGAGGGACTCCCCACAGCACCAGGGACCCCCTGCCCACCTCAGTTACAAGGACACGGCGGAGGGGGGGCTCAGGGCTTTATTTGGGTCTGGCACGGGGGTCTCAGGAATGGGTGGGATCAAGGTGGGGGTCTCAGGGCTGTTTCGGATTCATAGAGGGCTCTGATGAGGTCTTGGAGCAGTATTCAGGCCTATCCTGGTGGGTCTCAGGGCTGTGTCAGTGTCTGTGTGGGGGTCTCAGGGCTCAGTCCAGGTCCATGCGGGGCTTGTGAGGGGCCTCAGGGGGTCTTGGGACTGTTTTGGGTTCTGTGTGGGTGTCTCTGGAGGTCTCGGGGCTGTGTCTGGGCCCATCCTGGGGGTCTCAGGGCTCAGTCCAGGTCCATGCGGGGCTCGCCGGGGCTCTCAGGCTCTCTCGGGGGTCTCAGGGGGTCTCGGGGGTCTCTCCCTGCCCCTCGGCCCGGCCCAGCCGCAGCAGGGATGAGAACAGCCCCATCACGTTGTTCTGCAGCTCCCGGGCCAGCGGCTCCAGCTGTTTGTTAGCGCGCTCCAGGTACAGCCTGAGGGGCAACACCGGCGTCACCGGGGCTGCCGAGGCCTGGGGAGGGGTCCCGGGAGGGGTCCCGAGGAGAGGAGGGGAGGGGAGGGGTCCCGGAGAAGGAGGGGAGACACCCGAGAAGGGGAGGGGTCCTGAGAGGGTCCCGAGGAGGGGTCTCAGGAAGGGACAGGAGGGTCCCGAGTGGGGAGGGGTCTCGGGAGGGTCATGGGGAGGGGTCCCGGGTTGGGAGGGGTCCCGGGAGGGGTTCCAGGAGGGGAGGGGAGGGGAGGGGTCCCGGGGAGGGAGAGGAGGGTCCCGAGTGGGGAGGGGTCCTGAGAGGGTCCCGAGGAGGGGTCTCAGGAAGGGACGGGAGGGGTTCCGAGGAGGGGTCGGGGGAGGGTCCCGAGTGGGGAGGGGTCCCTGATGGGGTCCCTGATGGGGTCCCAGGGAGGGGTCCCGGTGGGGAGGGTCCCGAGTGGGGAGGGCTCTGCAATGGGGAGGGGTCCCGGCTCCAGCCCCCCGTACCCGGCCTGTGTGCGCAGCTCCTCGGGGCGCAGCTGCGGGGGCAGCTCTCGGCTCACCAGCTCGCTCAGGCTCTGCAGCTGCCGGCTCAGGAAATCCGCGGCCCCCGCGGGCTCCTCCGGACCCTCCGGGGCCTCGCCCTGCCCGTCCCGCTCGGGCAGCGCGGCCCCGGGGCGGGCGGCGGCGAGCAGGAGCAGCAGGGCCAGCAAAGGGAGCGGCATGGCTGCGGGAACACCGCGGGGACACGGCGGGACAGGTGGCACTTGTGTCCCCACGGAGAGTGCCAGCCCCATCCCGTCCCAACCCCACAGAAACTTCCAGCCCCACGGAGACTTCCAGCCCCATCCCATCCCATCGATCCCATCCCACCCCATTCAAACTTCCAGTCCTTTAGGAGCTTCCAACCCCATAGAAACTTCCAGCCCCATCCCATCCCACCCCATTCCTTCCCCATAGGAATTTCCAGCCCCATTCCCCACCCCAAAACCACCCCCAGCCCCAAATCCCCTCCAATCCCTCCCCGTACCCCAATCCCAACCCCAAATCCCAATCCTTGTTCCCAAATCCCAATTCCTACCCCACACCCCAATCCCAATCCCAAATTCTAATCCTGCCCCCAAATCCCAATCCTGACCCTACAGCCCAATCCCTGTCCCCAATCCCAATCCTTGTCCCTGTCCCCATTCCTGTTCCCATCCCTGCCCCCTGTCCCCCGTCCCCTCCCTGTCCCTTGTCCCCATTCCTGTCCCTCTCCCCGTCCCCTGTCCCCAATCCCTGTCCCCCATCCCCTGTCCTTGTCCCCGAGTGTTCCCCTGTCCCCCTTGTCCCTGTGTCTCCATTCCCTGTCCCCCTGTCCCCTGTCCCTGTCCCCAATCCCAATCCCTGTCCCCTTTCCATGTCCCCTTCCCTGTCCCCTCCTGTCCCCTCACCTTCCAGGTGTCGCTGCAGTTTTGGGGTCTCCCCTCCCCCGGCCCCGTTTTTATCCCAATCCCGCCCCCCCCGGGCAAACACGGCGGGGCCGAGGGGCAGCGCGGGGGGGCCCTGTTTCCCCCTGTCCCCTCCGTGTCCCCTCCGTGTCCCCAAGGGCCGAAGGTTGTCGCCCGTGGTGTCACCGACCCCCGGCCCCCGGCGGGGGGGGGACAGTGGGGACAGGCGGGCAAAGGGCGGGGGTGGCGCTGGCGACAAAAGGTCGGAGTCCCCCCGGTCACTGCGGGGACAGGGCAGGGGACACGGGGGGGGGTGGCGCTGGGAGGGGACAGTGGAGTGATGGCGACAGAGGGGACACAGGGAGGGGACAGCGATGTGCGGAGGGGACATGGTGGTGGTCCAGATTTAGGGACAGCGGGGATTTGGGGACACGCGGGGGACAGGACAAGAGGGGACACGCGGGATTTGGGGACCGCGGGGGTTTGGGGACACGCAGGACTTGTGGATTTGGGGACACGCGCGGGACAGGAGGGTTGCGCGGAACGGCCCCGCCACGGAACGTCTCCGCTCGGGTCCGGGTTGCCGGAGGGGTCGCATTCCGGCGCGGCCCCGCCCTCCCCGCTCAGCCAATGGGCGGCGCGCGTTGCCCGCAGCCAAGATGGCGGCGGCGCCCCCCCTGAAGGCGCTCCGGGCGGCGCCGCCCGCGATGGCGGCGGCCGGCGGGGGCCCGTGAGGGGCCATGGGCAACGCCGAGGGCCGGGCCCCGCGCCGGGCCCAGCCCCGCGGCAACCCCGGCAGCTTCGATGAGCTGCACCGGCTCTGCAAAGGTGCGCCCACCCGCGGCGAACGGGGATGGAGGGGGGACAACGGGGCTGAGGGGACAGTGGGGCTGTGCGGACAGAGGGACCGGGAGGGGACAGAGGGGCTGGGGGGACACTGGGGTGACGAGGGGACAGCGGGGCCATGGGGACAGCGGGACAAGGGGGTGTCGGTGCTGTCCCCAAAACGGGGCTGGGGGTGTCACCTGGGGGGTGACAACCATGCCTGGGGGTGACAGCCGTGTCCCCAGGGGTGACAGCCGTGTCCCCCCAGAGGTGTTCCCGCCGCAGATGGAGGGGGTGAAGCTGATCGTCACCAAGACCCTGAGCAGCCACTTCCAGGTGGGGCAGGGGACACCTGGGGACACGGGGGGTGTCCCCCCCACGCTGTCCCCATCCCCTGTGACCGCGCTGTCCCCGCAGGTGACACACACGGTGCACATGAGCACCCTGGGCCCCTCCGGGTACCGTTTCAACGCCACCTTCGTGGGGGACCGCCAGCTGGGGCCCACCGAGGTGACAGCGCGGGTGGCACCGGCCTGGGGGGGTGGCAGCGGGGTTGGCACAGGGGGTGTCACCGGTTCTGGAGCCTCATGGTCACCCCCAGGCCACCAATGGGTCATTGTGGCCATCTGTGGCCCTGGGGTGGTTGGTGGCTCTATATCCAGAGTGGCCTCAGGGTGGTTGGTGGCCTTGGGGTGACCTCAGGGTGGCCCTTTGGAGTCTTTGGTGGCCTCAGGGTGGTCAGTGGCCTTGGGGTCATTGGGGGCCCTGAGGTTATGGGTGGTCCTGGGTGACCCTGGGGTCATTGGTGATCTCAGGGTCATGGGTGGCTTTGGGGTCATTGGTGGCCCTGGGTGGTCCCAGATGGCCCTGAGCTTGTTGGTGGCCTCACCATGGCCACAGTGCTGTGGCCTGGGGGTGCTGGCACGTCCCAGCCAGCCCCAGGCTGGAGCCAGGGGTGCTCGGAGGTGGCCCTGTGGCCGTCCCTGTGTCCCCCTGTCCCGTATCCCTGTCCCCATGTGTTCCCCTGTCCCCAGGTGTCCTCTGTCCCTATCCCCCATCCCCTGTCCCTGTCCCCAGGTGTTCCCCTGTCCCTGTCCCCATCCCCTGTGCTGTCCCCAGGTGTTCCCCATGCTGCTCGGGGACATGGACAGCAGTGGCAGCCTCAACGCCCAGGCCCTGCACCTGCTGGGCGACCACCTCCGTGCCAAGGCCGTGTTCCAGGTGAGCCACAGGGGGTGCCACACCCGTGCCAGCCCCTCCCCGCCTGTCCCCTGGTGCCACCAGCAGCTCTGTCCCTGTCCCCAGACGCACCAGGCCAAGTTTGTGACGTGGCAGTTCGACGGCGAGTACCGGGGCGAGGACTGCACGGCCACGCTGACCCTGGGCAACCCCGACCTGCTGGGCGGCTCCGGTGAGCGCCCGGCCCTGCCCTGGGGACTGGGGACACCCCCTGGCATTGGGGACACCGCTGAGACTGTGCCTGGCCCTGCCCTGGGGACACTGCCCTGGCCCTGGGGACACTGCTGAGACTGTGCCTGGCCCTGCCCTGGGGACACCGCTGAGACTGTGCCTGGCCCTGCCCTGGGGACACCACCCTGGCCTTGGAGACACCGCTGTGACTGTGCCTGGCCCTGCCCTGGGGACACTGCCCTGGCCCTGGGGACACCGCTGAGACTGTGCCTGACCCTGCCCTGGGGACACCGCTGAGGCTGTGCCTGGCCCCGCCCTGGGGACACTGCCCTGGCCCTGGGGACACCACTGAGGCTGTGCCTGGCCCTGCCCTGGGGACACCGCCCTGGCCCTGGGGACACTTCCCTGGCCCTGGGGACACCGCTGAGGCTGTGCCTGGCCCTGCCCTGGGGACACCACCCTGGCCCCGGGGACACTGCCCTGGCCCCACCCTGGGGACACCGCCCCAGCCCCGCCCTGGCCCTGGGGACACTGCCCCGGACCTGCCTGGCCCTGCCCTGGGGACACCGCTGAGACTGTGCCTGGCCCCGCCCTGGGGACACCGCCCCAGACCTGCCCTGGGGACAACACCCTGGACCTGCCTGGCCTGCCCTGGGGACACTGCTGAGACTGTGCCTGGCCCTGCCTTGGGGACACCGCCCCAGCCCTGCCCCAGCCCCGGGGACACGGCCCTGGTGCTGCCCTGGGGACACTGCCCCAGCCCCGCCCGTCCCCGCCCCAGGGACACCGCCCCAGCCCTGCCCTGGGGACCCGTCTGAGGCGGCGCTGTCCCCGCTGTCCCCGCAGTGATCGTGGTGGCGCATTTTCCTGCAGAGCGTCACCGCCCGCCTGGTGCTGGGCGGGGAGCTCGTGTACCACCGGCGGCCCGGGGAGGAGGGAGCCATCCTCACCCTGGCCGGGAAGTACTCGGGTACGGACACCTGGGGACACCGGGGCACAGATGGGACACCTTGGGGACAGATGGGACATATGGGGATAGCTGGCAATGCTTGGGGACAGATGGGGATAGCTGGGAATGCCTGGGGACAGATGGGGATAGCTGGGAATGCCTGGGGACAGATGGGACACATGGGGACAGATGAGGACAGATGGGGACTGATGGGACATCCTGGGGACAGATGGGGCTGATGGGGACAGACAGGGACAGATTGGACAGCTGGGGATGCCTGGGGACACCTGGGGACATCTCAGGAAACCTGGAGACATCTTGTGGGTGCTGGGGACACCTGGGGATGCCTGGGAACACTTGGGGACACCTTGGGCACACCTGGGGATGGCTGGGGTCATCTGGGGACATCTTGGGGCCACCTGGGGAAACCTGGAGATGCCTCAGGAACACCTCTGGGACACCTTGGGGATGCCTTGGGGACACCTGGGGACACCTTGGGGACCCCTGGGGACGCTGTCTCTCTGTTACAGCCCCGAACTGGGTGACAACGCTCAACGTGGGCTATGGGGGAGCCCACGCCAGCTACTACCACCGGGCCAACGAGCAGGTGCGTGTCCCCAGATGTCCCCCACGCTGTCCCCAGTGTCCTCCTCGGTGTCCCCATGCCCCTGTGACCGTGCCGTCCCCCCCAGGTGCCGCACTGTCCCCACTGTCCTGTCCCCGCTGTCTCTGCTGTCCTGTCCCCACTGTCATGTCCCTGCTACCCTATTCCCGCTGACCCTTCTGTCCTGTCCCTGCTGTCCCTCATGTCCCCAGTGTCCCCGCAGTGTCCCCTCAGTGTCCCCACAATGTCCCTGCAGGTGCAGGTGGGTGTGGAGCTGGAGGCCAACACGCGTTTGCAGGAGAGCACCTTCACCTTCGGCTACCAGCTCACCCTGCCCGGGGCCAACGCCGTCTTCAGAGGTGGGCACTGTCCCCTGTCCCCTTCAGTGTCCCCTCAGTGTCACCTCCTGGGCCACTGGCACCGGCTGGTGGCACTCAGGTGTCCCCGCTGTCACCTGCCAGGACCACTCAGGTGTCCCCAGCTCAGGTGTCCCTGCTGTCACCTGATGGGGCCCTGCTCAGGTGTCCCCACTGTCACCGGCTGGTGGTGCTCAGTTGTCCCTGTGTCCCCAGCCACTCAGGTGTCCCCGTGTCCCCGGCTGGTGGCGCTCAGGTGTCCCCATGTCCCCGGCTGGTGGCACTCAGGTGTCCCTGTGTCCCCAGCCACTCAGGTGTCCCCGTGTCCCCAGCCGCTCAGGTGTCCCCGTGTCCCCACAGGGCTCCTGGACAGCAATTGGAGCGTGGGGGGGGTCCTGGAGAAGAAGCTGCCCCCCCTGCCCGTGACGCTGGCCCTGGGAGCCTTCCTGAACCACTGCAGGAGCCGCTTCCACTGCGGCTTCACCGTCACCGTGGGATGAGGGACAGGGACAGGGACAGGGGGACAGGACAGTGGGGAGCAGTGGGGACAAGGTAGCAGAGGCAGCAGGGACAGCGGGACGGCAGGGACAGGACAGAGGAACAGTGGGGACAGCAGGGACAGGACAGAGGGGACAGGACAGCAGGGACAGTGGGGACAGGACAGTGGGGACGGGGGGGACAGCAGGGACAGTGGGGACAATGGGGACAGCTGGAACAGGACAGAGGGGACAGCACAGCAGGGACAGGACAGCAGGGATGGGACAGTGGGGACAGCACAACGGGGACAGCAGGGACATGGGGACAGTGGGGACAGTGGGACAGCAGGGACAGGACAGAGGGGACAGCACAGCAGGGTCAGGACAGCAGGGACAGCATAGTGGGGACAGGACAGCGGGGACAGCAGGGACAGCACAGCAGGGACAGCAGGGACATGGGGACAGCAGGGACAGCACAGCAGGGATAGCAGGGACAGCAGGGACATGGGGACAGCAGGGACAGCACAGCAGGGACAGCAGGGACATGGGGACAGCAGGGACAGCATAGTGGGGACAGGACAGCGGGGACAGCAGGGACAGCACAGCAGGGACAGCAGGGACATGGGGACAGCAGGGACAGCACAGCAGGGACAGCAGGGACATGGGGACAGCAGGGACAGCACAGCAGGGACAGCAGGGACATGGGGACAGCGTGTGGTGGCACTGTCCTGCTCAGGGAGCTGCCAGGCCGGGCCCTGCAGGTGCGGGGACACGGCGGGCTGGGGACAGCGAGTGACAGTGCCACCAGGGGGCTGGGGGTCCCCGTTGTCCCCAGTGCCACCCTGTCCTGGGTGGTCCCCGTTGTCCGCGGCGCCGTGGCGGCTGTGCCTCAGTTTCCCCGCGGTGACACACCCGGGAGCCAGGATAAATAAAGGAGCTTTACTCTGTGCCTGGAGGCAGCTGGGGGTGACACTTGGGGCCCGGGGGGTGACACCTGGGGACCGGGGGGTGACACGGGGGGCCGTGCTCAGCTGATGATCTCGGAGAGCAGCGGCGTCATGGCCGACAGGTCCTGGATGTGCAGGATCTGCCGCGTGTTCTCCACCTTCAGCGTCTGCAGCTCCGTCAGCAGCAGCAGCAGCTTGGCGTACAGGAACCTTGGGGACACCCAGCCGGCTCTGGTGGCCGTCCCCACCCCTCAGGGGACGCCGCCAGCCCGTCCCAAGGCTCACCTGCCCTCCTCGGGGGGGTGCTGGTGGTCGATGTAGCTCTTGAGGGTCAGCGCCACCTTCTCCTGGAACTGGTCGATGACGTCGCGCTGGGCGATGCCGGCGTGGTCTGGAGGGGCCGTGGGGTGACCTCAGCGGGGCTTTGGGGACAGCGGCGTGTCCCCGTGTCCCCCTGTCCCGTATCCCTGTCCCCATGCTGCGCTGTCCCCAGCTGTTCCCCTCTCCTGTGTTCCCCTGTCCCCAGGTGTGCTCTGTCCCTGTCCCCCATCCCCTGTCCCTGTCCCCATCCCCTGTGCTGTCCCCAGCTGTTCCCCTGTCCCCATCCCCTGTCCCTGTCCCCATCCCCTGTGCTGTCCCCAGCTGTTCCCCTGTCCCCATCCCCTGTGCTGTCCCCAGCTGTTCCCCGTCCCTGTCCCCATCCCCTGTGCTGTCCCCATCCCCTGTCCCTGTCCCCATCCCCTGTGCTGTCCCCAGCTGTTCCCCTGTCCCTGTCCCCATCCCCTGTCCCCATCCCCTGTCCCTGTCCCCATCCCCTGTGCTGTCCCCAGCTGTTCCCCTGTCCCTGTCCCCATCCCCTGTGCTGTCCCCAGCTGTTCCCCTGTCCCTGTCCCCATCCCCTGTCCCTGTCCCCATCCCCTGTGCTGTTCCCCTGTCCCTGTCCCCATCCCCTGTGCTGTCCCCATCCCCTGTGCTGTCCCCAGCTGTTCCCCTGTCCCTGTCCCCATCCCCTGTGCTGTCCCCAGCTGTTCCCCTGTCCCCGTCCCCTGTGCTGTCCCCAGCTGTTCCCCTGTCCCTGTCCCCATCCCCTGTGCTGTCCCCAGCTGTTCCCCTGTCCCTGTCCCCGTACCCTGTGCTGTCCCCAGCTGTTCCCCTGTCCCCATCCCCTGTGCCAGGGTGGCTCACCTGGTGAGAAGAGCAGCATGGCCTGGAGCAGCGCGTACTCGGCCTCGTGCAGCCGCAGGCGCCTCAGGCTCTCGTGGAACTTGAGCAGCGGCTCCAGGTACACCTGCTGGAACCCGGCTGGGGCAGCCCCCAACCCCGGCTTAGGGCGGGCAGCGCCTCTGGGATCGGTCCCCACCCTGTCACCAAGTGCCACCTCCTCGGACACCTCTGGCCTCTGGGATCGGTCCCTGCCCTGTCACCAAGTGCCACCTCCTCGGACACCTCCGGGATGGCGGCTCCGAACCGCCCCGGGCAGCCCTTCCAGGGCCTTTTCCCTTTTTTAGGAGGAATTTCCCCAGATTTCCACTCTGATCCTCCCCTGGCTCACTCCCAACCTCCCCAGGCAGCTCTTCCAGGGCCTTTTCCCTTTTCCAGGAGGAATTTCCCCAGATTTCCACCCTGAGCCTCTCCAGGCAGCTCTTCCAGGGTCTTTTCCCTTTTCCAGGAGGAATTTCCCCAGATTTCCATCCTGAGCATCCCCGGGCAGCCCCTTCCAGGGTCTTTTCCCTTTTTTAGGAGGAATTTCCCCAGATTTCCATCCTGAGCATCCCCGGGCAGCCCCTTCCAAGATCTTTTCCCTTTTCCACAAGGAATTTCCATCCTGAGCCTCCCCTGGCTCACTCCAAACCATCCCTGGGCAGCTCTTCCAGGGCCTTTTCCCTTTTCCAGGAGGAATTTCCCCAGATTTCCACCCTGAGCCTCCCCCGGCAGCCCTTCCAAGACCTTTTCCCATTTCCAGGAGGAATTTCCCCAGATTTCCACCCTGAGCCTCCCCTGGCTCACTCCAAACCTCCCTGGGCAGCTCTTCCAGGGCCTTTTCCCTTTTCCACGAGGAATTCCCACCTGAACCTCCCTGGGCAGACCCTTCCAAGATCTTTTCCCTTTTCCACGAGGAATTTCCCCAAATTTCCACCCTGAGCCTCCCCGGGCAGCCCTTCCAGGGCCTTTTCCCTTTTCCCAGAGGAATTTCCCCAGATTTCCACTCTGATCCTCCCCTGGTGTCCCCAGTGTCCCCAAGGTGTCCCCAGGTATTCCCATTGTCCCCAAGGTGTCCCCAGCTGTCCCCAAGGTGTCCCCAGGTGTACCCAGGGCCCCGTCGCGGATGGTGTAGCAGCGCTGCCCGCACTCCCAGGCCTTGGTTTTGGGGTTGAACACGGTGTTGAAGCGGATCTGGCAGATCCCCAGTGTGGCCCCTTTCAGCAGCGAGATCTGCGCCTCCAGCGGCAAACTCCTGCCAGGGGAGGGGACACGGCAGCGACGCGGCGGCGACACGGTGACAAGGCAGGGGGGTGGCACCCGCCGCCGCCGCCCCCGCGCCGTCCCCTCCGCACCTGAAGACCGGGATCTCCTTGGCGAATTTGATCACCTGCTGGATCATGAACGTGCTCAGGTCCGCGAACTGCGGCAGCAGCGACAGCACGTCCGGCAGCGCCTCCTCCCGCGGCGACAGCGACAGCGACAGCCCCGCCGCCACCGCCCCGCCCGGCGCGCTCGGCACCAGCAGGCGCACGGCGGGCTGGGGACAGCGAGGGGACAGCGCTGGGGACAGCGAGGGGACAGGCGGGGTGGCGCTGGGGACGGGTGGGGGGACAGCCAGGGTGTCTCTGGGGACAGCTGGGGCATTGTGGGGACAGTCTGGGGAAACAGCCAGGGCATCTTTGGGGACAGTCTGGGTACACGTGGGGACAGGCAGGACATTGATGGGGACAGTTGGGGCATCTTTGGGGACAGTCAGGGACAGCCTGGGTACACGCAGGGACAGTGTGGGTACATGTGGGGACGGGCAGGACATTGATGGGGACAGTCTGGGTACACATGGGGACAGTCAGGACATTGATGGGGACAGTTGGGGCATCTTTGGGAACAGTCAGGGACATCTTTGGGAATGGTCTGGGGACACGTGGGGACAGTCAGGACATCTTTGGGGACAGCCAGGACAGCCACAGGCGCGGGCAGGGTGCCCATGGCCACGGCTGGGACCCCAGTGGGGACAGTGGGGACAACCACAGGGACAGGGGTGTCCCATTGGGGACAGGATTGTCCCATTTGGGGACAGGGGTGTCCCGTTGGGGACAGGAGGTCCCGTTTGGGGACAGGAGGTCCGGTTTGAGGACAGGGGTGTCCCATTGGGGACAGGAGGTCCCGTTTGAGGACAGGGGTGTCCTGTTGGGTACAGGGTGTCCCATTGGGGACAGGAGGTCCCGTTTGAGGACAGGGGTGTCCCCTTGGGGACAGGGTGTCCCATTGGGGACAGGGGGTCCCGTTTGAGGACAGGGGTGTCCCACTGGGGACAGGGGTGTCCAGCTGGGGACAGGGGTGTCCTGATGGGGACAGGGGGTCCAGCTGGGGACAGGGGTGTCCTGATGGGGAGAGGGGGTCCCGTTTGGGGACAGGGGGTCCCGTTTGGGGACAGGAGTGTCCCGTTTGGGGACAGGGGTGTCCAGGTGGGGACAGGGTGTCCCACTGGGGACAGGAGTGTCCCATTGGGGAGAGGGGGTCCCGTTTGGGGACAGGGGGGTCCCGTTTGGGGACAGGGGGGTCCCGTTTGGGGACAGGAGTGTTCCAATGGGTACAGGGGGTCCCGTTTGGGGACAGGGGGTCCCGTTTGGGGACAGGGGTGTCCCCACTCACCCAGCAGTGCATGAACTGTGAGAAGCTGGAGTCGAAGGTTCTCTGGTGGGCGCCGATGAGCAGCGCGATGAGCTCCTGCTGCTCGGCCGTCAGCCCCTCGTGTCCCCGCTGTCCCCCGGGCTGTCCCCGCTGTCCCCGCAGCTCCCGCCGCCGCCGCAGCGCCTCCTCCGACATGATCACTGCCACCCCGTGTCACCGCTGTCACCGCTGTCACCGCTGTCACCGCCGCCACCGCCGCCACCCGCCGCCACCGCCGGGCACAGCGACCGGGCTCACTCCCCGCTGTCCCCTGTGTCCCCTCCATGTCCTCCCCCTCTGCTCTGCCCCGTGTCCCCCCGGTGTCCCCGCGGTGTCCCCGCGGTGTCCCCCGTGTCACTCACTGTCCCTCCTCATGCCCACGTCCAGGCACTTCTGCAGGCGGCAGGCCTGGCACTGTCGCCGCTTGGCCTTGGTGACAGGACAGCGCCGCGCCAGGGGACACGTGAAACGGACACCCTTGAGGATGGAGCGCCTGCGGGGACACGGGCACTGCCACCAGGGGGACACTGCCACCAGGGGGACACTGCCAGGACACTGCCACCAGGGGGACACTGCCGGGACACTGCCGGGACACTGCCACCAGGGGGACACGGGCACTGCCACCAGGGGGACACCGCCACCAGGGGGACACTGCCGGGACACTGCCACCAGGGGGACACGGGTACTGCCACCAAGGGGACACTGCCACCAGGGGGACACTGCCACCACGGGGACACTGCCGGGACACTGCCACCAAGGGGACACTGCCACCAGGGGGACACTGCCGGGACACTGCCACCAGGGGGACACGGGTACTGCCACCAGGGGGACACTGCCAGGACACTGCCACCAGGGGGACACCGCCACCAGGGGGACACTGCTGGGACACTGCCACCAGGGGGACACTGCCACCAAGGGCTGGGGACATGGGCACTGCCACCAAGGGGACACGGACACTGCCACCAGGGGGACACTGCCAGGACACCGCCACCAGGGGGAGACGGGCACTGCCACCAGGGGGACACTGCCACCAGGGGCTGGGGATACAGGCAGTGCCACCGCGGGGACACAGACACTGCCACCACGGGTTGGGGACACTGCCACCAAGGGCTGGGGACATGGGCACTGCCACTGCCACCACGGGGACACAGGCAGTGCCACCAGGGGGACACTGCCACCAAGGGCTGGGGATACAGGCAGTGCCACCGCGGGGACACAGACACTGCCACCACGGGTTGGGGACACTGCCACCAAGGGCTGGGGACATGGGCACTGCCACTGCCACCACGGGGACACAGGCAGTGCCACCAGGGGGACACTGCCACCAAGGAGACACGGCCACTGTCACCGTGTGTCCCCAGCCACAGGGCTGTCCCCTTTTGTCACACGCTGTCCCCATCCATGGAACCGTCCTGTGCCACCCCCTCCCATCCCAGTCCCTCCTGTCCCTTCCTGTCCCCACATCCCATCTTGTCCCCTCACCCTGTCCCCATGTCCCATCCTGCCCTGTCCCCAGCTGTCCCTGCAGTGTCCCCACAGTGTCCCCAGCTGTCCCCGCAGTGTCCCCACAGTGTCCCCGCCTGTCCCCACCTGAAGAAGCCCTTGCAGCCCTCGCAGCTCATCACGTGGAAGTGGTACCCGTTGGCCCTGTCCCCGCACACGGCGCACACTTTGTCCCCGTCGGGCTCCGTGTCCCCAGGCGGGCTCGGCAGGGACACACCTGGGGACACGGGGACAGCGGGGGTGACACACGGCCAGCACCAGTCCCATCCCCTCGAGGCTGCCGTGTCACCGTGTCACACGGCGCTGTCATCCACGTGAACCCACCCGTCCCCACAAAGGTGTCCCTTCGTGTCCCTGCCAGCCCCAACGTGTCCCCAATGGGGACAAAGCGACCCTGCTGGTCCCCAAGTGTCCCCTCCGATCCCCGTGTGTCCCCTCCTGTCCCTGCGTGTCCCCAATGGGGACACAGTGGCCCTGCTGGCCCCCAGGTGTCCCCTCCAATCTCCATGTGTCTCCTCCTGGCCCTGTGTGTCCCCAAGTGTCCCCTCCTGGCCCTGTGTGTCCCCGCCAGCCCCTGTGTGTCCCCAACAGGGACAAAGTGACCCTGCTGGTCCCTGTGTGTCCCCTCCTGTCCCCTCCTGTCCGCGCATGTCCCGCCAGCCCCCGAGTGTCCCCTCCCGTCCCCGTGTGTCCCCTCCTGTCCCCTCCTGTCCCCGTGTGTCCCCGTGCTGGCGGTACCTGAGCGGGTGTCCCCTGGTGCTGTCAGTGACAGGGAATTGTCCCCACTCAGCGAGGGGACATCAGGTCCCCGAGTGTCCCCGGCGGTCCCCGCATGTCCCTGGGGGTCTCCGTGTGTCCCCTCCATTCCCGTGCGTCCCCGTCGGTCTCTGTGTGTCCCCTCCTGTCCCCAGCTGTCCCCACGTGTCACCGGCGGTCCCAGGAAGGGCCGTGTGGAGTTTGAACCTTGAACTTGGGGCTGTGACAGGCGGGGACAGAGCGCAGGGCGGGGGGGGACAGGTGGCGCTGGGGGTGGCGCCCGGGGTGGCACCTGGGGCGGGACAGGCGGGGACAGGAGAGCGCGGGTACGACACAGGGACACGGGGACAGACAGACAGACAGCCACAGAGGGGACAGCGAGGCACGGAGGGGACAGCCAGGATGTCACAGCCGCCTGCTGAGGGTGGCACCCCGTGTCACACACGGTGGTGGCCGTCCTGCCACCGCTGTCCCCACGGGAAGGTCCCTGTCACCAGTGCCACGGATGGACTGGCAGTGTCACCATCCCCGGAGCCCCTGTGCCCTGTCCCCCGGTGTCACCCCAACAGGAGGGTGGCACTCGGGTGGCGCATGGTCACCCCGGTGTCCCCACACTCCCCTGTGTCCCCTGTCCCACCCTCCATGTCCCCATATCCCCAGTGTCCCCAATGTCCCACAATGTCCCCATGTCCCCTCATGTCTCCGTGTCCCCAGTGTCCCCAGTGTCTCCCTGTGTCTCCCAGGTCCCCTGTGTCCCCATATCCCCAATGTCTCTAATGTCCCCAATGTCCCCTGTGTCCCTGTGTCCCCGTGTCCCCAATGTCCCACTACGTCCCCCAATGTCCCCGTGTCCTCGTGTCCCCCCATGTCCCCAATATCCCCAATGTCCCCAATATCCCAAATATTTCCCTGTGTCCCCCATGTCCCCCAGATCCCCAATGTCCCCAGTGTCCCCAATGTCCCCAATGCGCCCAATGTCCCCAATATCCCCCCCCATGTTACCAATGTCCCCATGTCCCCAATGTTCCCAGTGTCCCCAATGTCCCCCCCAATGTCCCCCCCGTGTCCGTCGCTCCTGGATCGGGGGGGGAAGCCACCCTTGTGGGCGTGTCCCTTTGGGCCCCGCTCCCGCTCCCCATTGGCTGCTCTCGGCTGTCACTCAAACCCCGTCCCTACAAAGGCGGCGGCGGCAGCGCCGGTCCCGCACTCGGAGCGGCGGCGGCACCGGGCGGGATGAGCGAGGTGCGGGCACCGGGGGGCACCGGGGGCACCGGAGAGGGGACTCTGCCCCTTTCCCCAGCACCGAGCCGGGCGGGGAGCAGCGCTGGGAGCGGCAATGGGGCCAGGACGCTGCTCCCCGGGGAGAGGGGGGGACACTTTGGGGACTCCGGGCCACCGGTGTCACCTCCCCTGTCCCCTCGGGCCCTCCTCGCTTCTCAGCGCAGCCCCAGTGAGCCCCACTCGGGCTGGGGGCTGTGGGACCGCCGGGGACAACGGGGGGGCCCCGGGGACAATGGGGGGGCTCTGGGGACAATGTGGGGGGACCCTGGGGACAATGTGGGGACCTTGTGTCACCCCCGGGTCCCCTCTCTCCGCAGCGCAGCCCCCACGCGCCCCCCTCCGCGGCGGAGGCCCCCGGTGGGCAGCAGCAAGGTGAGGAGCCCCGGCACAGGTGGGGCGCGGGTTCTCTGTCCCCTCTGTCACCGCTGTCCCCTCTGTCACCGCTGTCACCGCTGTCCCCGCAGACCCCAGGGTCCCCCCCATTGTCCCCGTCCTCGTGGAAGGCGGCACCTGGGTGCATTTGGGGACCTCCCTGTCCCCTCGGAAGTGTCGGGGTGTGCCCCTGGGGGGAGTCGTGGTGTCCCTTGTCCCCAGGGTTGGTGGCAGGGTGTCCCCCCGAGTGTCCCCATGGTCGATCTGGGGGTGCCAGGCTGTCCCGTCTCCCCAGTGTTGGTGCCAGGGTGTCCCCCGAGTGTCCCCTGGATGTCCCCCGGGTGAATCTGGCAGTGCCACCCTGTCCCCAAGCGTGTCCCCAAGCGTGTCCCCGTCCCCGGCAGCCAAGGCTGAGCCCAAGAAGGAGGAAGAGGAGGAGGAGGAGGAGGAGGAGATCGACATCGACCTGAGCGCGCCCGAGACGGAGCGCGCGGCTCTCGCCATCCAGGGCCGCTTCCGCCGCTCCCGCCAGCGCCGGGAGGAGCCGCGGCCCTGAGGGACCCCCGGGACCCCCCCGGGACCCCCCCCGAGGGACCGCGAGTGACACGGGACGGGGGGGGGACACAGCCGGGTGTCCCCAAGGGAAGGTGGCCCTGGGGAGGGGGCGACGTGGGACCCCCCCGCTTTCCTGGGACCCCCCCATTTTCCATGAGAACCCCCATTTTCCATGGGAAATCCTCATTTTCCTGTCCCGTGGTGGCGTTGGGGACACGCGGAGAGTGGGGAGGGGACACACGCGGTGTCCCCAAACGAGGGACACGCCCGGTGTCCCCTGGGGCCGGGGGGGACGGGTCCCACTGCAGCCCCCAGGCCAGGAAATCGGGGCTCCCCACCCTCCTGTCACTGTCAGCGCCCCCTCCCCACATTTCTGTCACTGTCACTGTCACTGTCCCCTCCCCACCCTCCTGTCCCTGTCACTGTCACTGTCCCCCCTCCCCGAGGGGCTTTTGGCCCGTGCAGAAAATAAAGAGTGAGGAAGAGGAGGCTGCGCTGGGGCTTCGGGGGAATTTGGGGAGGGGTCCCCACTGGGAGGGTTTTGGGGGGGGGTTCTCAGCCCAATTTTGGGGGAGTTTGCAGCAGGATTTGGGGGGTTCGCGGGAGGATTTGGGGGGATTGAAGCCGAATTTTGGGGTGGGTGTGCAGGCGGATTTTGGGGGGTTCGCAGGAGGACTTGGGGAGGTTTGCAGCCGAATTTTGGGGAGGTTTGCAGCCGAATTTTGGGGGGATTGAAGCCGAATTTTGGGGGGTTCGCAGGAGGATTTGGGGGGGTTCACGGGAGGATTTGGGAGGGTTTCACAGCCACGTTTTGGGGGGAATTGCTGAAGGATTTTGGGAGGGTTCGCAGCCGAATTTTGGGGTGGGTGTGCAGCCGGATTTGGGGGTTCACGGGAGGATTTCAGGGGGGTTCGCAGCTGCGTTTTGGGGGCTGCATAGGAGGATTTCGGGGGGATTAGCAGCCCAATTTTGGGGGGATTCACAGCCGGATTTTGAGGGCTCCACAGGCGGGTTTTGAACGTTTGCAGCCGGGTTTTTTGCGGGGGGGTGTTTGCAGGCGGATTTTGGGGGGGGGGGGGCTTTGCAACCCAATTTTGGGGGGTTCGCAGCCGGGATTTTGGGGGTTCCACAGCCGGGTTTTTTTGGGGAGGGCAGCTCGGGGAGGTTCCCAGGGCCCGGCAATGCCGCGATCCGGTGCAGAAATAACTCCTTGGAAAGAAAAACAGCGGCGGCGGCCCCGGGGGCAGGGCCCAGGGGACACGGCGGGGTCGGGCAGCGCTGACTTATACGGGAAAGGACAACGGCACCGGGCACGGCGGGCGGGGGCACCGGGGCCGCTCCCGCCCCATCCCCGCCCTGCTCCGGGCCCTAAATGCCCCCCCAGGGCCGGGGTCTTGGGGTCTTTTCCCCCCTCCCTCCCTCCGTGAGGAGGTGACAATGGCCTGTCCCTTGTCCCTGTCCCTGTCCCTGTCCCCCCACCCCCGAGGGGACAATGGCCTCGAAGGGGACCCCAGCCCACCCCCCCCCGCCCTGAGCCTTGGCCTCTGTGTTAATTACAGCGAGTTTTAATGAACGGCGGGTGGCAGGGAGGTGGCTCTGAGGTGGTGGCATCGGGGACAGCCACTCGGGGACTCTGGGGCGCCACCGCTGTCACCCCCTCCAAGTGTCACCTCCCCGCTGAGGGTGGCGGCGGCGTCCCCGTGGTGCGGGGACAGTGACAGTGACAGTGACAGCCGGGGGGGACACGGGGCTCCCGGAGATGTCAGTTTTATTAATGGCACCACGGGGACAGGGAGGGGACAGGGACAGGGGGGTACAAAACGCGTCCGGAGGGGGGGGGACACGGGCGGCTCCCCCAGCCCGGCCGCAGCCTCGCCCCCTCCCACGGGGCTCCGGCCGGTTTGGGGGGGGGTCCCGGGGGTTACGGAGCGCGGGGGTTAATGGGGGGACAGGAGGGGACAAAGGGGACAAAGGGGCGGGGGCCACCCCGCGACGTCATTTGGGGTCGGTCGCGGGCAGAGACGAGAAAACGGCCAGAAAAGGAGCGAAATGGGGGGCACGGAGAAACCCCCCCCGAGCTCGGGGAGGGGACACGCGGCGGGGACACCGACCCCAAACCCGCCGGGTTCGCGTTCCGGGGGACGAATCCCACCCGGGGCTGGGCAGGGAGCGACCGAGGGGGCGCCGGGGGGGGACCCGCGCTTGTCCCCAGCGCTGTCCCCAAGGCGAGGGACCCGAAGCGAGGACCACACCCCGCTCCTCGCCGGGTCCCCCAGCCCGGAGGGGCCGCGGCCGGGGCCGGGGGGGTCCCTCAGGAGCCCCCCGAGTTGGGTTTGATGATGCTCAGCAGGGCGTTCTTGAGGCTGCCCCGGCTCGGGGAGCGGGCGGCGGGCGGGGCCGCGGCCTGGGGCTCCCCCCGCAGCTCCATCTCGATGGTCATGATGACTTTGGGGGGCCGGGGGTCCCCCGCGGCCCCGGCCGCCCCCGGGGGTCCCTCCCTGCCCGCTAACCGCTATTTCCTATCCTTGCGCGAGTCGCCCGCGCCTCCCTTGGCTTTCTTGGCGCTGCGGCCGTGGTCCAGCATGGCGTAGAGCACGGGGGCCTGCGGGGACAGGGGGGCTTCACCCGCAGCCCCCGGCGAGCCTGGGGACCGAGGGGACAGGGGGGACAGCCCGCCGTGCCCCCCGCCCCGCTCGGCGCTCACCTGCCGGCTGCGCTTGGAGCCGTCCTTGCCCGAGCGCTGCAGCTTCCCCTCTCCATGGCGCTGCGGATGGGGGAAAAAGGGGGAAAAAGGGGAAAAAAGCGGCTCGGGATGGTGGGACTGAGCCCCGGGAGCCCCGGTGTGGGGAGGGGGCGCGGAAATCGCAGCCCCGGTGGTCCCGGTTTGAGGGAAAGGGGAAAAGAGCGGCTCGGGACGGCGAGAGCGCAGTCCCCGGTGTGGGGGAGGGGGCGCGGCTCGGGACGGAGGAATTGCAGCGCTCGGTGGTGCCGGTTTGGGGAGGGGGTCACGGAAATCGCAGCCCCGGCGGGGCCGGTTTGGGGAGGGGTTTAGGGAAGGGTCGCGGCTCGGGAGGGCGGAACTGCGGCCCCCGGTACCGCCGGTTTGGGGGAGCGGTCACGGAAATTGCAGCCCCCGGGTTGGGGAGGGTCCCGGTTTGGGGAGGGTCCCGGTTTTGGACAGGGATCGCGGCTCGGGAAGGAGCAATTGGTGCCCCGGTGGTCCCGGTTTGAGGAGGGTCCCGTTTTGGGGACGGTCCCTGTTTGGGGACGGTCCCGTTTTGGGGGAGGGTCCCGGTTTGGGGAGGGGTCCCGGCTCACCTCAGCCGCCTCTGCAGAGCCGCCTGGCGCCGCCTCCAGCAGTAGCGGCTGCCGTAGCCCAGGGCCACCAGCGCGGCCACCAAGAGCAGCGCCCCGCCGATAACGGAGCCCAGCACGACACCGTAACGGGGGTGGCACTGCGGGGACAGCGACACCGTGTCACCCCCCCCGGCAATGGGGGCACTGCGGGGACAGCGACACTGCGGGGACAGCGACACCGTGTCACCCCCCCGGCAATGGGGGCACTGCGGGGACAAGCGACACCGTGTCACAGCCCCGGCAATGGGGGCACTGCGGGGACAGCGACATCGTGTCACCCTCCAGCAGCAGGGAGGGGACAGTGGCACCGTGTCACCTCCACCTGCAGAGGATCAGGCAGGTGACAGCAGCCTCGTGTCACTGCCAGCAGCGGGTGGGCATTGAGGTGACAGCAGCCGGGTGTCACCGCCACCAGCGGGGGACAGGAAGGTGACACCAGCCCGATGTCACTGCCAGCAGTGGAGGAGCAGGGAGGTGACATTGGCCCGGTGTCACCGCCAGCAGTGGAGGAGCAGGGAGGTGACATTGGCCCGGTGTCACTGCCAGCAGTGCAGGTGATACCAGCGCCGTGTCCCCACCACCAACGCGAATCAGGGAGGTGACAGCAGCCAGGTGTCACCGCCAACAGCGGTGGGCACTGAGGTGACACCAGCGCCGTGTCCCCGCCACCAACGGGGATCAGGGAGGTGACATTGGCCCGGTGTCACCGCCAGCAGTGAAGGTGATATCAGCCCGGTGTCACCGCCACCAGAGGGGATCAGGGCGGTGCCACCAGCTCAGTGTCACCGCCAGCAGTGCAGGTGACAGCAGCGCCGTGTCCCCACCACCAGAGGGGATCAGGGCGGTGCCACCAGCCGTGTCCCGCCCCCAGGGAGGTGACAGCCGTGTCGCGCACCTTTCTCCAGCACGTAGAGCGTGACCTGCGAGGACTTGCCCACGATGTCGGGCGGGTTCTTGACGTCGCACGTGAAGGTGCCGTTGTCGCTGGGCTCCAGGCCGTGGATGACGATGGAGCCGTCGCGGCGCCGCGGGTTCCCCGCCCACTCCATGCGCTCCTTGAAGGTCCCCACGTCGTCGATGTAGGGCTGGCCCTTGGCGTAGTGGAAGATCTGCGACAGTGACGCGACAACGAGGTCACCACCAGGGTGACAGCAAGGGGCGGGGCTGGGGCACGGGGACACTGCGGGGACAGCTCGGGGTGAGGGGACACGGTGTCACCTGCAGGGATGGGGCTGGGACACTGCAGGGACACTGCGGGGACACCCCAGTGCCACCTGCAGGAATGGGGCTGCTGGGACACGGGGACACTGAGGGCACACTATGGGGACATCCCAGTGCCACCATGGAGGGGACACCATGGTGTCTGTCACCTGCAGGGACAGGGCTGGGACACTGTGGGGACACTGTGGGGGACATTTCAGTGCCACCACAGGGCGAGGGGACACCGCTGGGGCTGGACCTGGCAGGCACTGGGAGCACCTTGAGGACACCTTGGGGACACTTTGGGGACGCCCCAGTGCCACCATGGAGCGAGAAGACACCGTGTCACCCTCAGGGAAGGCTCCGCTGGGACGAGAGGACACCGGGGCGTGGCAGGGACGGGCTGGGGACAACGGGGACGTGTTGGGGACAACGGGGACGGGTTGGGGACACTGGGGACACTGACGGAGATGCTGTCACGGGAGCCCTCGGCCTGGAAGTGCCAGGTGATGGAAATGTCCTCCGAGATCCACTCGCTGGACCAGAAGCTGCAGGACAGGGTGACACTGGAGCCCACGGTGCCATAGACCTCGCGCTGCGTGTACACGTGGATTGGGGACACCGGCGACAGCCCTGGGGACACGGGGACACCGAGAGCCGTCAGCCCCGCCCCCCGCGCGGGGCGGTGTCCCCGAGCTGCCACCAAAGGGAGGAGCGGTGGCACTGCTGTCCCCAGGGGCGGCACGGAGGGGACAGCGGAGCGGTGGCACTGCTGTCCCCAGGGGTGGCACGGAGGGGACAGTGTGCCGGTGCCTGGTGACACGGGCGGGGCTGGGTGTGGCACTCCCCCAGCTGTCCCCAGGGAGGTGACAATGGCCGGGATTGTCCTGACAGCCACCCCCCCCCCCCGCCACTACAAGTGCCACAGCTCGGTGACACCATCGGGGCTGGGTGTGGCACTCCCGCACCTGTCCCCAAGGAGGTGACAACGACCGGGACCCTCCTGGCTGCCACCCGCCACGATCCCCAGGTTGGTGCCACCCCTGCTGTCCCCTGCCAGCTTCGGGGACAGTCCCCAAAACTCGGTGACACTCCCCAGCCCAAGGGGACAGTCCCCAAAGCTCGGTGACAATCCCCAAACCACGGGGACAGTCCCCAAACCACGGTGACAATCCCCAAACCACGGGGACAGTCCCCAAGGCTCGGTGACAATCCCCAAACCACGGTGACAGTCCCCAAGCCAAGGTGACAGTCCCCAAGGCTCGGTGACAATCCCCAAACCACGGTGACAGTCCCCAAAGCTTGGTGACAGTCCCCAAGCCCCGCGTGTCCCCCATCCCCAGGGCCACCCCCAAACCTCTCCTGTCCCCCCCCCCCCCGCCCGCCACCCCCTTTTTGGGGACCGTCCCTTGTCCCCAAGCTCACCCAGCGCCGCCACGAGCCCGGCCACGAGGAGGAGGCGTCGGGTGGCCCTCGGGGACATGGTGGCGGTGACACGGAGGGGACAGCGGCGGGGACGCGGTTTTAGGGTGGCCCTGTCCCCAAATGCCGGCCAATGGGCGCGGGGGGGCCGGGCCGCGGGGACCCCGCTCAAAGGCGACATTGAGGGACACCGAGGGACACCGAGGGTGGCTCGGGGGACGGGGACACTGGTGGCCTTTGTGCGGCCGCATTCCCGCGCGCCGCGGGGGCGGGGGAGCAGGAATGTGGCCCGAGGGGACAGCGGGGACAGGGGGGGACATGGGGGGGGTATGGAGGGGACACTCGGGGGACACGGGTGTGGCATGGGGGGACATGGAGGGGACATGGGGGGGACACGAGGGGGACAAAGGTGACATGGGGGGACGGGGGGAGGACGTGGAGTGGGGGGACACTCGGGGACATGGGGGTGACATGGAGGGGACATGAAGGGACATGGGAGGGGATAGAGAGGGGACTGAGGGGGGGACAGAGGGGGTGACATGGGGGAGACATGGAGGGGACAGAGGTGGGGGGACAGGGGGACATGGAGGGGACACGGGGGGACAGCGGGGACGTGAGGGGACATGGGGGGGATATGGGGAGACAGGGAGGGGACAGCAGGGACAAAGGTGGGGGGACACGGGGGAATTGGGGGTACAGAGAGGGGACAGAGGGGGGGACATGGGAGGGGACATGGGGGGACATGGGGGGGACAGCAGGGGGGACATGGAGGGGGACATGGGGGGGGCATAGAGGGGACACTGAGAGGGCCGGGGGGACACTGGGGGACATGGCGGGGGGGACACGGTGCTCGTAGCTGGGGCAAGGCCAGGGGGTTTTGGGGGATTTTGGGGGGTTTGGGGGATTTTAGGGGAAAAACTGCAAAGAGGGAATTGCCCGGGGGGTGATAACGGGGATCGATAAAGGGATCGATAACGGGGATCAATAACGGGGATCCATAAAGGGATCAATAACGGGGATCGATAAAGGGATCGATAACGGGGATCAATAACGGGGATCCATAAAGGGATCAATAACGGGGATCGATAATGGGGATCGATAACGGGGATCAATAAAGGGATCGATAACGGGGATCAATAACGGGGATCCATAAAGGGATCAATAACGGGGATCGATAATGGGGATCGATAACAGGGATCAATAAAGGGATCGATAACGGGGATCGATAATGGGGATCAATAACGGGGATTGATAACGGGGATCAATAACAGGACCGAGATCAGGTATCAATCCCAGGTTTCGATCCCAGGGATCAATAACGGATCTGATATCAGGTATCGATCCCAGTGACCAATATCAAGGACCAATATCAATACCGATATCAGTTATCGATCCCAGTACCGATATCAATATCATTACGAATATCAATACAGTATCAATGACCGATATCAGTGACCGATACCAATAACCGATACCAGTTCTCGATCCCAGTACAGATATCAATGCTGATATCAATAACCGATACCAATAACTGATATCAGTTATCGATCCCAGTACCAATATCAATATCAATATCATTACGAATATCAATACCAGTATCAATGACCGATTTCAATACCGATACCAATAACCGATATTGGTTATCGATCCCACTGACCGATACCAGTGACCGATACCAATACCGATACCAATAACCGATATCTGTTATCGATACCAGTGACCGATATCAATAACCGACACCAATAACCGATATCTGTTATCGATACCAGTGACCGATATCAATAACCGATACCAGTTCTCGATCCCAGTACAGATATCAATGACAATATCAATAACCGATACCAATAACCGATATCTGTTATCGATACCAGTGACCGATACCAATAACCGACACCAATAACCGATATCTGTTATCGATACCAGTGACCGATATCAATGACGATATCAATAACCGATACCAATAACTGATATCTGTTATCGATACCAGTGACCAATACCAATACCGACACCAATAACCGATATCTGTTATCGATCCCACTGACCGATATCAATACCAATACCAATAACCGATATCTGTTATCGATACCAGTGACCGATACCAATAACCGATATCGGTTATCGATCCCACTGACCGATACCAGTGACCGATATCAATACCGATACCAATAACCGATATCGGTTATCGATCCCACTGACCGATATCAGTGACCGATATCAATACCGATACCAATAACCGATATCGGTTATCGATCCCACTGACCGATATCAATACCGATACCAATAACCGATATCGGTTGCCGAGCCCCGCCCATTCCCGGAACCGGAACTGCGTCACGGCCACTTCCGGCGCGGCGGTTCCAAGATGGCGGCGCTGGCTCTGAGGTGACTCCGAGGGCCCGGGACAGGCCGGGGGACACTGGGGGACATTGGGGACACCGAGGGGACACCGGGGGCGGGGGCGGGCCCGGTCTGAGGCGATTTCTCGGTTCCGGCCCGGGAGCCGCGGGGCCGGGCCAGCCCCGAACTGCGGCAGGACCGTCCCGAGTCCCCTCCGTGTCCCCTCCGTGTCCCCTCAGTGTCACTCCCGTGTCCCCTCCGTGTCTCCTCAGTGTCACCCTCCTGTCACCCTCTGTGTCCCATTTTGTCCCCATTTTTTCTCATTTTTTCTCCGTTTTCCCCCCAGTTTTCCCCATTTTCCCCTCTTTTCCAGGGCATCTGGGACATTCCCAGTCCCATTTCCCGTTGTTCCCATATATTCCCTTTGTCCCCCCCCCAAGTTTTTAAGTATTTTCCCCTTTTATTCCCCATTTTCCCCCATTTTTTTCCCTCAGTTTTCCATTTTTTTCCCCATTTTTCCCCCATTTTTCTCTCTTTTCCAGGGGTTTGGGCGGCGCTGCCTCCTGGCCCGGCTGGGGCCCGGCCCCACCCTGCACCAGTGAGAGACTGGGAGGGACTGGGAGGGACTGGGACCAAACTGGGATGGACTGGGAGGGACTGGGATGGAACTGAAGGGACTGGGATGGAACTGGGAGGGACTGGGGTGGATTTAGGGTTTTGTTGGGGTGGATTTAGGGTTTTTTTTTGGGATGGGTTTGGGTTTTTGGGTTTTTTTTGGGATGGGTTAGGCCGTTGATTTGGGGTGGGTTTAGGGTGGTTTATTTTTGGGGGTTTAGGGTGGATTTAGGGTTTTTTTTGGGATGGGTTTAGGGGTTGTTTTGGGGTAGATTTAGGGGTTGTTTTGGGGGGTGTTTAAGGTGGATTTAGGGGGTTTTTTTGGGATGGGTTTGGGGTTTTTGGGGTTGTTTTGGGATGGGTTTAGGGGTTGTTTTGGGGTAGCTTTAGGGGTTTTTTTGGGTTTGGGGTGGATTTAGGGGTTTTTTTTTGGGGTAGATTTAGGGGTTTTTTTGGGGGGGTTTAGGATGGATTTAGGGTTTTTTTTGGGATGGGTTTAGGGTTGTTTTGGGGTAGATTTAGGGGTTTTTTTTTGGGATGGGTTTAGGGGTTTTTTTTTGGGATGGGTTTAGGGTTTTTGGGGTTTTTTTTGGGATGGGTTTAGGGGTTTTTTTTTGGGATGGGTTTAGGGTTTTTGGGGTTTTTTTTTTGGGATGGGTTTAGGGTGTTTTTGGGGTCGGGCTCAGCCCCTGTCCCTGTCCCCAGGGCTGTCCCCATGGCCACCACGGCCCGGGAGGAGATGAGGAGGTTCTGGGAGAGGAACGAGCGCTCGGGGCGGCCCCTGTCCCCCCACGTCAGCATCTACAAGTGAGGGACACCCCAAAACTGCCCCCAAACCCAGCTGGGGACCCCAAAACTGCCCTAAACCCAGCTGGGGACCCCAAAACTGCCCCCAAACCCAGCTGGGGACCCCAAAACTGCCCCAAACCCAGCTGGGGACCCCAAAACTGCCCCAAACCCAGCTGGGGACCCCAAAACTGCCCCAAACCAGCTGGGGACCCCAAAACTGCCCCCAAACCCAGCTGGGGACCCCAAAACTGCCCTAAACCAGCTGGGGACCCCAAAACTGCCTTAAAACAGCTCCAAAACCCCACCAGAGAACCTCAAAATCACCCCAAAAACTGCCCCCAAATCCAGCTGGGGACCCCAAAACTGCCCCCAAACCCAGCTGGGGACCCCAAAACTGCCCCAAAACACCCCTAAACCAAACAAGGAACCCTAAAATCACCCTGGAAACCCCTAAATCAGCCCAGGAGCTGCAAATCCACCCCAAGTTCACCCCAGGACCCCCCAAATTTCCCCCCAAAATTCACACCAGGACCCCTCAGAATCCCCCAAATTCCCCCCGAATTCACCTCAGGCCACCCCAAATTCATGCCAGGACCCCCCAGAATCCCCCAAATTCACCCCAGGACCTCCCGGAATCTCCCAAATTCACCCCAGGACCCCCAAGAATGCCCCAAATTCCCCCCAAATTCACCTCAGGCCACCCCAAATTCACGCCAGGACCCCCCTAAATCTCCCAGATTCACGCCAGGGCACCCCAAAATGCCCCAAATTCACCCCAGGACCCCCCGGAATCCCCCAAATTCACGCCAGGACCCCCCAAAATGCCCCAAATCCCCCCCAAATCGCCCCCAGGCCCCGTTGCTGTGGGTTTGGGCTGAGGCAGCCCCGTTCCCCGTTGCAGGTGGTCGCTGCCCATGGCCATGTCCATCAGCCACCGCGGCACCGGCGTCGCCCTCAGCCTCGGTGGGTGGCACTGGGGGCCCTGTCCCCATCCCGGGTGTATCCCTGATGTCCCAGGTGTATCCTTGATGTCCCCAGGTGTATCCCTGATGTCCCAGGTGGATCCCTGTCCCCATCCCAGGTGTATCCCTGATGTCCCCATCCCAGGTTTATCCCTGTCCCCATCCCAGGTGTATCCCTGATGTCCCCAGGTGGACCCCTGATGTCCCCAGGTGTATCCCTGTCCCAGGTGGATCCCTGTCCCCATTCCAGGTGGATCCCTCTCCCCAGGTTTATCCCTGTCCCCCCCAGGTGTATCCCTGTCCCCATCCTGGGTGTATCCCTGTCCCCAGGTGTGTCCCTGTCCCCATTCCAGGTGGATCCCTGATGTCCCCAGGTGGACCCCTGCTGTCCCCAGGTGTATCCCTGTCCCCCCCAGGTGTGTCCCTGTCCCCCCCAGGTGTGTCCCTGCTGTCCCCAGGTGTGTCCCTGTCCCTCCCAGGTGTGTCCCTGCTGTCCCCAGGTGTGTCCCTGTCCCCCCCAGGTGTGTCCCTGTCCCTGACACGTGTGTCCCTGTCCCCCCCAGGTGTGTCCCTGTCCCTGACAGGTTTGTCCCTGCTGTCCCCAGGTGTGTCCCTGTCCCCCCCAGGTGTGTCCCTGTCCCCCCCAGGTCTATCCCTGCTGTCCCCAGGTGTGTCCCTGTCCCTGACACGTGTGTCCCTGCTGTCCCCAGCTGTGTCCCTGTCCCTGACTCGTGTGTCCCTGCTGTCCCCAGGTGTGTCCCTGTTCTCCAGGTCTATCCCTGCTGTCCCCAGGTGTGTCCCTGTCCCTGACTCATGTGTCCCTGTCCCCCCAGCTGTGTCCCTGTCCCTGACAGGTTTGTCCCTGCTGTCCCCAGGTGTGTCCCTGTCCCTGACTCGTGTGTCCCTGTCCCCCCAGGTGTGTCCCTGTTCTCGGTGGCCGCCCTGCTGCTCCCTGAGCACTTCCCCCATTACCTGGCTCAGGTGCGGGCGCTGAGCCTGGGCCCCGCCCTCGTCTGCTCGGCCAAGTTCCTGCTGGCCCTGCCCCTGTGCTACCACACCTGGAACGGCGTCCGCCACCTGGTGAGGGCCCTGGGCACCTGCAGTGTCCTTTAGGGGACAGCAGGTGACAATGGGGTGGCACTGGGGTGTCCTCCCCACCCGGGTCCTTCAGGTCGGGGTAGCACAGGGGCAGGGCCAGCAGGAACTTGGCCGAGCAGACGAGGGCGGGGCCCAGGCTCAGCGCCCGCACCTGAGCCAGGTAATGGGGGAAGTGCTCAGGGAGCAGCAGGGCGGCCACCGAGAACAGGGACACACCTGGGGGGACAGGGACACACGAGTCAGGGACAGGGACACACCTGGGGACAGCAGGGACAAACCTGTCAGGGACAGGGACACAGCTGGGGGGACAGGGACACATGAGTCAGGGACAGGGACACACCTGGGGACAGCAGGGACAGTGGGGTGGCACTGCAGTGTTCCCCCCACCCGGGTCCCTGGGATCAGGGAGGAATTTTGGGAATTGCACAAAAATTTTGGGAGGGGTTTTATGGGAGCCCATCCCAGTGCTCCCAGTGTGGAACTGGGACCGTGGGGGTTTTGGGATTTTGGGAATTCTGGATCCATGGAATTCCCAGGGAGGGATCGACCCCAGAGCGGCCTCTGGGGTTTGGGGGGCTCAGGGTTTTCCACATTATGGGAATGTTGGGAATAGTGGGAATAATGGGAATGGGGATAATGGGAATAATGGGAATGGGAGTATGGAGAGGGGATGGAATGAGGGGAGAAGGGCTGGAAAGGGGGAATGGGAAGGGAGCAGGAACTGGGAGAAAAGGGGGAAAGGAAAGGGGAGAGGGGATGGGAAAAAGGGGATGGGAATGGGGAGAGGAATTGGGGAAAAGGATGGGAATGGGGAAGAGGGAGAAGGGATGGGAATGGGGAGAGGAAATGGAAAAAGGGGATGGGAAAGTGGGAGAGGAATTGGGGAAAAGGGGGAGAGGGGATGGGAAAAGGGGGATGAGAAAGGGGAGAGGGAATGGGAAAAAAGGCAGGAAAAAGGGGATGGGAAGGGGAGGAGGAATTGGGAAAAGGGATGGGAAAGGAGAAAGGGGACAGGGAAGGGGGAGAAGGGGAGAGAAAATGGGAAAAAAGGGCTGGAAATGGGGAGAAGGGATGGGAAAGGGGAGGGGATGGGAAAAAGGGGAAGAGGGGATGGGAAAGGGGAGAAGAAATGGCAAAAATGGGGAGAGAAAATGGGAAAAAGGAGCTGGGAACGGGGAGAGAATTGGGAGAAAGGATGGGAAAGGGGAGAGGGAATGGGAAAAAGGGGAGAGGGGATGGGGAAGGGGAGAGAAAATGGCAAAAACGGGAAGAGAAAATGTGCAAAAGGAGCTGGGAACGGGGAGCAGGGAAGGCAGCGGCAACGGGGGACACTGAGGGAAGGTGTCCCGGTCGTGGGGACAATGTGACACCGCTGTCCCCGTGTCCCGGCAGGCCTGGGACCTCGGCAAGGGGCTGAAGCTGCCGCAGGTGACGCAGTCGGGGCTGCTGGTGCTGGCGCTGACCGTGCTGTCCTCGGCCGCGCTGGCGGCGCTCTGAGAGCCCCGGGCGGCCCCGGATCCCGGCAATCCCGGCAATCCCGGGAATTCCGGGAATCCCGGCAATCCCGGGCGGCCCCGGATCCCGGCAATCCCGGCAATCCCGGGAATCCCGGGCGGCCCCGGATCCCGGCAATCCCGGGCGGCCCCGGATCCCGGCAATCCCGGCAATCCCGGCAATCCCGGCAATCCCGGGCGGCCCCGGATCCCGGCAATCCCGGCAATCCCGGCAATCCCGGGAATTCCGGCAATCCCGGGCGGCCCCGGATCCCGGCAATCCCGGCAATCCCGGGAATTCCGGCAGTCCCGGATCCCGGCAATCCCGGCAATCCCGGCAATCCCGGGCGGCCCCGCCCCTCCCTCCCCTCCCCCTGCCCGAAATCCCGGGATGAGCAGAGCTGCCCCGCCCCCCCCGCGCTGTCCCCGCGGTGTCCCCGTGGTGTCCCCACGTGTCCCCGAGGCCGGCACAATGCGGGATCTGTGTCCCCGCGAGTGGGATTGGCACCGGGGGGTGGGAGCGCGGCAGCACAAGGAGCTCCATTGAGGCAGCGCCCTACAGGGGTGGGTGACAGGTGACATCTCGGTGCCACCCCCCCTGCCACCCCCCAGGGTCCTGGGTCCCATGGGAATGCCATGATTCAGCCCATTTTGGGGGGAAAATCCCCAATTTTGGAGCTTCTTCCCAGTGGGGAGGCAGCGCTCTATAGGGGTGACATCTCAGTGCCACCCCCCTGTCACCCTGCTGCCACCCTGCTGCCACCCCCCTGCCACCACTCAAAATCCTGGATCCCATGGGAATTCCATGATTCAGCCCATTTGGGGGGAAAAAAACCCAATTTTGGAGCTTCTTCACAGTGGGGAGGCAGCACTCTATAGGGGTGACATCTCAGTGCCATCCCACTGTCACCACTCGAGGTCCTGGATCCCATGGGAATGCCATGATTCAGCCCATTTTGGGGGCAAAAAAACCCAATTTTGGGGCTTCTTCACAGTGGGGAGGCAGCACTCTATAGGAGTGACATCTCAGTGCCACCCCCCTGTCACCCCCTGCCACCCTGCTGCCACCACTCACAGTCCTGGATCCCATGGGAATTTCATGATTCGGCCCATTTTGGGGGCAAAAATCCCAATTTTGGAGCCTCCAGCCAGTAGGGAGACAGTACCCTATAGGGGTGGGTGACAGGTGACATCTCGGTGCCACCCCCCTGTCACCACTCGGGGTCCTGGATCCCATGGGAATTCCCTGATTCAGCCCATTTTGGGGGGAAAAATCCCAATTTTGGAGCCTCCAGCCAGTGGGAACGTCCTGGTTTGGTGCTGGGGAGGGGTTTGTCACCCCAGGCGTTGTCACCCCAGATGTTGTCACCCAGGTTTTGTCACCCCAGGCATTGTCACCCCAGGCGTTGTCACCCCAGGCGTTGTCACCCAGGTTTTGTCACCCAGGTGTTGTCACCTGTCCCTTGGGGAATAAAATAAAGCAGCTCTGATCCTCCAGCCCCGTGTCCCTCGCTGTCCCTCACCCAGGATTTGGGGAATTGCTGCTCCCCAGAGGAGCCCAGTGTAGGAAAAACGTGGGAAAAACCCCAAAATTTGCAGTTCCTGGAGGAGCAGGGATGAGCCTGGGGGGTTTGGGGTTGGGTTTAGGGGATTTTTAACCTTTGCAAAGGGGTTTGGGGTCGGATTTGGGGGATTTTTAACCTTTGCAAAGGGGTTTGGGGTCGGATTTAGGGGATTTTTAACCTTTGCAAAGGGGTTTGGGGTCGGATTTAGGGGATTTTTAACCTTTGCAAAGAGTTTGGGGTCGGGTTTTGGGGATTTTTAACCTTTGCAAAGGGGTCCCCAGCCCATCCCGAGTTCCTGCCCCAGCTTTGTGCTGGGGAGGGATCCTGCTGGGAAAATCCAGGATTTTTTGGGGGGTAAAATCCAGGATTTTTTGGGGGAAAATCCAGGAATTTCTGGGAGGAAAATCCAGGAATTTTTGGGGGGAAAATCCAGGGTTTTTTTGAGGAAAATCCAGGTTTTTTTGAGGAAAATCCAGGTTTTTTCTAGGGGGGGAAAATCCAGGTTTTTTTTGAGGAAAATCCAGGATTTTTTGGGGGGAAAACCCAGGATTTTGGGGTGGCAAGAGGGATGTGGGTGGTTTGATCCCAATTAATTTCCTAATTAAGAATCCTCCCCTGGGACCAGGGAGGAGGAGGAGGAGGAGGAGGAAGGAGCAGGGCCAAACCCTAAACCCCAAACAGATTTGGGTTCATTCCAAGGATTTCCTGCATTTCCCAGCCTTTATTTCCCCTTTTTGGGGGGGGTCCAGACCCCAAAAAGGAGGGGGAAAGGTGGCATTTGGGGTGGGGGATTGTCCCCAGGGGAGGGGACAGTGACAGCAGAGCCACCTCCAGGGGCTCAGGAGGGATTTTGGGGACAGGGTCCCCAGCCATAGGGACTGAGGGGACAGGGGGGTCCCTCCTCAGGGGGATTTTGGGGACAGGGACCCCCCAAATAGGGACTGAGGGGACAGGGGGGTCCCTCCTCAGGGGGATTTAGGGGACAGGGCCCCTCCCCAGAGGGATTTAGGGGACAGGGCCCCTCCCCAGGGGGATTTAGGGGACAGGGCCCCTCTCCAGGGACATTTTGGGGACAGGGTCCCTCTCCAGGGACATTTTGGGGACAGGGTCCCCCCTCAGGGTTGTCCCCAGGTTTTGGGGGCTCAGGGTGGGGGGAGCCCCCGCTGGGACCCCCCTGGTCCTTTCCAGAAGGTTCCGTGTCCCAGGGTTCCTGCAGCTGTGGGAGGGACAGGGGGGGTCAGGGGGGTCCCCAGGGAGGGGAAATGGGGTGGGGACCCCTGAAAAGGGGGGAGGGACTGGGAGGGACTGGGAGGGACTGGGAGGGAATGGGAGAGACTGGGAGGGACTGGGAGGGAATGGGAGGGACTGGGAGGGAATGGGAGAGACTGGGAGGGACTGGGAGGGAATGGGAGAGACTGGGAGGGACTGGGAGGGAATGGGAGGGACTGGGAGGGAATGGGAGAGACTGGGAGGGACTGGGAGGGACTGGGAGGGAATGGGAGGGACTGGGAGGGACTGGGAGGGACTGGGAGGGAATGGGAGGGACTGGGAGGGAATGGGAGAGACTGGGAGGGAATGGGAGAGACTGGGAGGGACTGGGAGGGACTGGGAGGGAATGGGAGGGAATGGGAGCTCTCTCCTTGTGGGAACAGCCCCAAAAATGTGTCCCCATGTCCCCAGGTGTGTCCCAGCTGTGTCCCCAGCAGTGTCACCTTGCCGGTGACCCGTGTCCCGATGCCGTTGTGGGCTCTCTGCAGTGCCAGGGGCTGTCCCTGTGTGTGTCCCCATGTCCCCAGCTGTGTCCCCAGGTGTGTCCCTGTGTATCCCTGTGTATCCCAGGTGTGTCCCCATGTCCCCAGCTGTGTCCCCAGGTGTGTCCCCATGTCCCAGGTGTGTCCCTGTGTGTCCCCAGGGTGTCACCTTGCCGGTCACCCGTGTCCTGATGCCATTGTGGGCTCTCCGTAGTGCCAGGGGCTGTCCCTGTGTGTGTCCCCATGTCCCAGCTGTGTCCCCAGGTGTGTCCCCATGTCCCAGGTGTGTCCCCAGGGTGTCACCTTGCCGGTCACCCGTGTCCTGATGCCGTTGCAGGCTCTCCGCAGTGCCGGGGGCTGTCCCTGTGTGTGTCCCCAGGTGTGTCCCCATGTCCCCAGCTGTGTCCCCATGTCCCAGGTGTGTCCCTGTGTGTCCCCAGGGTGTCACCTTGCCGGTCACGCGTGTCCTGATGCCGTTGCAGGCTCTCCGCAGGGCCGGGGGCTGTTCCCGCTCCAGCCGCTGGGCGGCCCCGGGTGAGCGGGCGCTGCGGTCCAGGCGGGCCGGGGGGATCCGCGCTGGCATCGCCCACGTGCCCAGGAAGGTGCCCCAGGGTGACACCTGCGGGGGGGGAGACCCCAAAACTGCCCCGGGAGCGAGGGGGGACCCCAAAACTGCCCCGGGAACGGAGGAGGGACCCCAAAGCTACCCCGGGACAGGGGGGAGACCCCAAAACTGCCCCGGGAGCGAGGGGGGACCCCAAAACTGCCCCGGTGTCCCCCTGGGATGGGAGAGGACCCCAAAGCTGCCCCGGGACACCAGGAGGTGACCCCAAAACTGCCTCGGGACCGGGGAGGGGGACCCCAAAGCTGCCCCGATGTCCCCCGGGGGACCCCAAAACTGCCCCAGGAGCGGGGAGAGACCCCAAAACTGCCCCGAGGCTCCGGGAGCAGAGGGGAGACCCCAAAGCTGCCCCGGATGCGGGAAGGGGACCCCAAAACTGCCCCAGTAGCGGGGGGTGACCCCAAACCTGCCCCGGAATGGGAGGGGACCTCAAAACTGCCCCAGGAGCGGGCAGGGGGACCCCCAAAACTGTCCCGGGAGCGGGGAATGACCCCAAAAGTGCCCCGGGCTCACCTTGGATCGCGGCACGTGCGGCAGGAGGTGCCCCCGATCGTCGGCGATGAACGGGGTGGGCGGGCGAGGGGTGGGCAGCTGGGGGGGGTTGGGTTGGGGGGGGGTCAGCACCGGCCTGGGGGTGCTGGGAGGGGTTTGGGGGTCCTGGGAAGGGATTTGGGGGTATTGGGGTGAGGTTTGGGGGTCCTGGGATGAGGTTTTGGGGGAGATCAGCACTGGGTTGGGAAGGGTCCTGGTGGTCCCGGGAGGGGTTTGGGGGTCCTGGGAGGGGTTTGGGGGTCTTGGGAAGGGGTTTGGGGGTCCTGGGAAGGGATTTGGGGGGACCAGACCTGGGCTGGAGGGACCTGGTGGCCCCGGGAGGAGTCTGGGGGTCTCGGGATGAGGTTTGGGGGTCCTGGGGTGGGGTTTGGGGGGGTCCCGAGGAGGTCAGGACTGGGCTGGGGGGGTCCTGGGGGTCTTGGGATGAGGTTTGGGGGTCCTGGGGTGGGGTTTGGGGGGGTCCTGGGGGGTCCTTGGAGGGGGTCTGGGGGTCCCGATCAGGGTCTGGGGGGGTCAAGGCCGAGCTCGGGGGGTACCTTCGGGGGGGGGCGGGGCACGGTCCAGCTCTGCAGCCGGGGGGGGCTGAAGGCGTCCTCGTACTGGGGAGGGGGAGGGGCCGCTCGGAGCCGGGACCCCCCCCCCCCCCCCGCCACCCCTGGACCTCCTGTCCCCCCTTTTCCCCTTTCCCTCCCTTTCCTCCCCCTTTTCCCGCCTCGTTTCCCCCATTTTCTCCCCTTTTTTCCCCTTTTTTCCCCTTTTTTCCCCATTTCCCGCCCCCCCCACCTGCCCCGCCATGTTGCGTTGCCCGGCAACGGCCGCGCGCGCCCCCTGGCGACCGTTACGGGCCTCGCAGAGGGGCGGGGCCAAATACGTCATCATCGCGCGCCGCGCCCGGTCTGTGGCCACGCCCTCGATGGCTCCGCCCCACACGGGGCGGGTCTCAGGACAGGGATGGGGACAGGAGGGGACAGGGATGGGGACAGGGACACGAAGGGACAGGGAATAAGGACAGCAGGGGACAGGGACAGGGACACGTCTCCTGTTTCCCGCCCCAGCCCCGTGTCCCCTCAGCCCCGTGTCCCCCGGGGGAGGGGACAGAAGCCACCTCCGGCCGCTGAGAGGGGCGGCTTGGGGACACGAATGTCACCTCCGGGCATCCTTGGCTTGGAGCGTCCTGCTCGGTTTGTCCCCTCCTGTCCCCTCTGTCCCCATCCTTGTCCCCATCCCTTTCGCCATTTTTGTCCCATCCGTTGTCCCCATCCCTGTCCCCTCTGTCCCCCTCCCCTGTCCCCTCTGTCCCCTGTCACGCCACTCCCATCTCAATTCTCTCAATTTTATTCCATTTCCGTTTCTTTCTTTTTCCTTTTTTTCTCCTTTTTTTTTTTTTTTTTTTTTCCTGGTTTTGGGTTCGTTTTCCTTTGGCTCCGTTCTGAACCGACCCCCAAAAAAAACCCCAAAAAATCCCAAAGGCGGGGGCGGGGCCGCTTTTGGGGCCGGGCGGGGACAGAGGGTGACAATGACACCGTGGGGGGGCTGGGGAAACTGGGAATGGGGACTGGGAATGGGGAGTGGGAACTGGGAACTGGGAATGGGAATGGGGAATGGGAACTGGGAATGGGGACTGGGAATGGGGATTGGGAATGGGGAATGGGAACTGGGAATGGGGAATGGGAACTGGGAATGGGAACTGAGAATGAGGGGGGCGTAAAAAAAAGGGGTCAAACCCCAAAATAAAGCAACAAAACCAGGGGAGAGCCGAGCGGGGGTTCGAGGAGGGGATTTTGGGGGCATTTTGTGGGGTTTTGAAGCTTTTTAGGGTTTTTTTTGGCTTCGGGAGCCGCTCCTGCCGTCGCTTTGTCCGGGCGGGCTCTCGCTGTCCCCGTCTCCGTGGCGGCCCCGCGAGGGAGCTCCAGGAAAGGAA